TAAGGACAGTAGTAGGTAACTGTAGCGGCCTTGGCTCGCAAATACTTGTTCTCGGACTCAGTGTAAGTTACCAAAAAAGACTAGGTAATACAGGAAAAGTGGGTATCAGACTGCTCTAGCAGGTGATACACTCGAGGATGAATCGGTTAACCATGCCGGTAGTCCTATAGGTGGATGCAAAGATCTTGGAACTTGGACTAACTTATGTATCGCATGTTCTGAATGAGATTAGATGGATTGATATAGGAAACTTGGATCAGAGGGTTTAATTGAGTAATTCAAGTAATAGTGGGTTACAGGTACGGCATCTAGTGTAGCATCTAGCATATAGATAGATTACTTAATTAGGAACCCAGAAGGTGCAGATATGGCTAGAATGTATTCTCATCAGAATGTACTTGTCTGAGGCCCCTTTGAAAAGGGCACCACATGATCCTAATATCTAATAAAAGCGATAAGCCGAAGAGGCTAACCTTAACTAAAAAAAAAAAAAAAATGAAAATAAAAAAAAATATATATATATATACTAATAAAATCTTTTAAAATATGCTAATAAAATCTACTAATATAACAATATAAAATTTTAGAAAACTTAAAAAAATTTTCAATAGTAAACCCTAATGTTATACAAACTTTGAACTTTAATTAATCAAAAGTTTTTTAATAATTTTAAAAAATTTTCTTAATAAAGTTGATGAAGTAGATCTTTAAAAGTCTTTTTTAATTAGAAAATATATTGCTAAAATTAATATTTAAGATTTTATTAAAAAAATAAAGTTTAAAAAAATAAACACAGACAAATTTGCCTGTATTACAATTTAAGGGATAAAAATCTGTAATGGAAATTACATATGAAAATTACTATTGTCAAAATATGGCAAGCTCCTATCTAAAACTTTTTTTTTACTAAATTAATAATATATAGCCATTAATTAAAAGTTGTAGAGCTCATCGATACGCATTTAATGGTAGTTAGATTATCTAAATCAGCCTAGTAGATGGTGAGATATTATTGAAAAATGATTGGCTGACTATATAAAATCTCTATATAAACAAACATTGTTTATTTAGAGATTTTATATAGTCGGCCAATCATTTTTCAATGATATCTCGTTATCCACTAGGCTAATTTAAATGATCTAACCACCATTAGATGCGTCTCAATGAGCTCTACAACTTTCAATTAATGGACATGTATCATTAACTTAATAAGAAAAAAGTTTTAGATGGGAGCTCACCACATTTCGACAATAATGATTTTCATATATAATTTCTGTTATGAATTTTTATATAGTCTGCCAATCATATTCTGACGATATTTCACCATCCACTAAGCTGATTTGGATGATCTAACTACTATTAGATGCATCTCGAAAAGCTCTACAACTTTCAATTAGTAAGCATGCATCCTTAACTTAGTAAGAAAAAAGTTTTAGATGGCAGATGTCTCATTTCGCCTATTGTTCAATTCATAGTTAAGTATATTTCATTTGATTTTTTTATAATTTTAAATTATTTACTAATTACTTAATAATCGGTTAATTTTTTTTTTAGAGGATATATAGCTGATATTTTTGATTTTCTAATTAATTTACAAATATCGTCTTTTCAATAATATAAAAATTTTATATGATATGTTATTGTTTAATATTTCATTAGATGATATCTATATTATATATACTGATTTTATATTTATTAAATTTAATTATTTTAAATAAATTCTATTTTGAAAAATAAAAATTAAATGATAATTTATAATTTACATTCATTATCACTTCACGATCTTTTCTTAGTTTTTTTACTATCAGCACTCCTTTCTCTCTTCTTACTTTTTTTACTCCACCTGCTTTTTTTATCTACATGCTTACTCTCATTCTTATCTTCATCTCCACCTTTACTTTCACTATCACTTTCCTCACCATTATCATCACTACCAACACTTTTATTTGGTATATCAGCCTCTTCGTCAGATATTATTGTAACATTCATAGAGAGGCCTTTTGTACTTTTTGAAGGTGATTTAGCACCTTTTGAAGGTGATTTTACTCCTGTTTATGATGATGTTGCTGCTATTTTAATTTGTGTTGTTGTTGCTGCTGTCATTGTTGCTGCTGCTATTGTTGCTGCTGCTGTTGTTGTTGCTATTAATACTGCTATTGGTGTTGCTGCTGCTGTTGTTGTTGCTGCTTCTGTTGTAGTTGGTATTGTTGTAGTTTATACAGATGATGTTGTTACTGTGATAATATTAAACCATATTGTAACAAGATTAGTAATATTAGAAAGTGGTAAAGTATTATCATCCCGCTTTCTTTTTTTGTATAATACAATTCTATCATCATTGTCTCTTTCTTTTCTATCATGTCATCTTTTTCTTTCCTTTTACTTCCCTTACTACTTTTTTTTGCACCTGCACTACCATTTTTTTTCACTTTTTTTTTCTTATGTGAATCTTTATCTCCAATAGAAAGTCTGCATCAAATTCTGGATCCTAAATATTAAATAGATTTAAAGCTTCTTCTGATAATACCATCTTGAGCAATCGGGTGGTGGTATTTCTGTCATATCAACATCCTCTTCATAATACTGTTTATGCATTCTATTGTTTTTTGGCTGCAGTTGTTCTACAAATAAATCAATATGCTTATGAAATAGCCATTTTAACTAAATAAGTAAGATGATAGTCTGTTAATATAATATTCATACCAGTATAGTTTAATAAAAAAGATAGATTAAATTAATTAGCATTATAAATAATGCTGGCTAATTTTATTTCATAATATGATTTTTACATAGTAAAAAATTAAAAACATATGTATAAATAATATTTTAAAATTAATCAACATTATTTTTTCAGCACCAGTAAAATATTTACTTATATTAGGGTCTCGCTACCATTTGTTAATACAAACTAACTTCTTAACCTTCTCACCATCCTTTGACTAATCCTCATCTGTCTTCTACTCTTCATCAGAATGATAGGCATTCCCTCCTTTGCTTCTTGTTAAGATCTTTAAGTCGTTCTGTGAATATCTTCTAATACTTTTATTTTCTGCCTTTATTAAATATGTTAATGCTTTTTGTCTTCTTTTTCTCTTCTATAATACAGTAATTTAAATTATTATATTTCACTTACAAATCATTTACCTGATATATCAGTAATCTCTTACTGATATATTAGGTAAATGATTTGTGGGCTAAGTAATAAATCATTTACTCAATATATCAGTAAGAGATTACTGATATATTGGGTAAATGATTTGTTAGTCAAATAACTCTAGAATTGATTTAAAAAATAATTTACATAACAAATTTTATTATGCTTACCTCATTCACCTTACTATTTTTCCCTATTCTGGTGTAATTGTAGGCCTTTAAGTTTGGATCAGCATTTATTGTTGCTATTCGATGATACATCTTATGATGTTGTTTTAAATTTTTTCAATCGCACCAGAATGGTGATAATATCCTAGTAATTTTTTTGTAATAGCCGAAATCAGCTTTTGCCTTATGTCCTGCAATTGGCTAACCCATTGTTTAGTCAGATCAGGCTTTAGGTCAGATAGCTTACTACCTTTTATTAATACTTTAATTTCATCCTTTGGTAATAATAATTATAATATTAATAATAAAAGTAAATTAATTATAATAACAATAATAAAAGTAAATTAATTATAATAATATTAATTATAATAACAATAATAATAATAAAAGTAAACAACTGTTTCTGACGATCACTTGGTCAACAACAATTTACTGAACTACAGTCAGCGATATAGGAAAGCAACAGAGTGGATACAGCAATATTCTTGGTTTTGCATTAAGCAAACTTGTTGTCGACAAAGCCTACAATACATGAAATACCGAGGAGCAGGTGTATAAGAATATTAGGTGGGTTTGTGTCTTGGGTCAAGTTTTTCTATCTTCAACAGACTCCCTCACATGTTCGGCATCCAAACTGGAAGGTTTATTCTAGAAACAAGTAGAGCAAAGTCTTTGGGCAAGAATATTAAGTAGATACTTAGAAACTGGACTATACAACTGAAAACTTACAAGAAGAATCTCACATATTTTTGTTGATCCTCCACTTTTTTTTTGAGAAAAATTTTGTAAAAAAGTGGGCAATTTAGCTTACCCCTCCAAAAGATCGATATATTATTTACTTACCAAATTGGTCAGCATTGTTTACTTTTTTTCCTGTCACAACAAACACATAGATACTTATAGAATGTGAACATATGGATTACGTACCTCAGAAGTAGCAACCCAGACAAACAATGCTTCGAGACCAACTATGTGAATTTCTGACTTCTTTATAGTGCCCGAAGCATGCTTTTGTTTACGCTTCTATAGGAGTTTAAACAAAAGAAGCTGGAGAGCTTATAGTGCTAGAGTACGGTGCTGATGTCGAAGAGCTTTCACTTAAATATACTAATTAGTTAAATTAGAATAGAGATTAGTTTAAATAGTAGTATGTAATTTTTACAAAGCCCAACACAGGCTTATAATTGTGACTGTTTGGTGTGGATGAAAAATCCTATATTTTTCTTTTTTTCATTTTTTCCTTACCCCTTTCTTTTCTTGTTTGTATCTTTTATCATATTCCCTATATCTCTGTGTTTTTTTTTATATAGTTTTTCTTTTTTTCTTTTCACTTCTCTATGAGAAGATATCATCAGATTGGTGATATCCTATTGTAGAGCGGTGGATCGAATGAGCCCTCCGGTTAGAGTATTACTTAGGTTTTATCTCACTGGTGCGGCAGGTCGCTAATGGGCACTCATTAGAGCAGCCGGGAGATGTTAAGATCATAGGTTTAATGTTATAGCAATATATTTGTAATCATCCACAAAGATTGAAGCTTTATTAAATATCAATCACTAGTGTGATCTTGTCTAAGTGAAAAAAAAAAAAATAATAATAATAATAAAAGTAAAAAACAGACAAACATACAAACATGAGACAAATAATATTTACTTATAAGTGAGACCTCTGCTCATTTGTCAATACTTTCGGTACATCTTCACTTGAACTGCTGCTACTACTACTAGACCTACTAGTGCTTCTACTTGTGCTTCTACTAACTGACCTACTACTACCTTTACTATCTGATCTACTTTTTCTCTTACTAACTGATCTATCTCTTCTCCTTTTAACTAATTTATTTTTTACCTTACTTTCATTTTCGCTACTAGTAGCTCCTGAACTACTAGAGCTTAAGGGTGATAGTAATCTTGCTCTTTCTTTCCTCTTACTAAATACTGCTGTGACTGCTTAAGCAACTGCTTGCGCAATATAACTTGTATCCACTAAATAATAGATTATTGTTGTATTAATGATATATTAAAATTACTACTGTTTATAAACCTTATATTTTCATTTCTTATATTTATATAACTTCTTCTTAGACTTTTTAGCACCCATTTTACTGTTCTCTGGTTTTGGCAAATGCTTTTCTTTACCCATGTTTTGATAAAAGTTTTTGATAAAAAAATTAAAAGATATTGACCATCTTATATATAAATCTTATTCTTATCATCCTAATATCCATTAATTAAATTAAAAATTTTTTTTTTTTTTTTTTTTTTTAAAAGCGAGGCCGTGCCTCTGTTCCTTTATTAGAATTCATATGATATTACAAAT